TTTCACCAAAGGGACGCTATCATTATCTCACGAGATAAATGGTTGCCTACTACTATATAGCTGAGAATGCTGTATCCCATACCGTCTCCATTTGTGAAAATATTTCACGCGACCTTTCAAAGAATCAATAAACAATCTGGATAATTTCATACATTTCTGTACCACATTGGCCAAGTTCACTCAAATCGTTGTGATTGCATTCTTATTGGGTGTATTTTAATTATATACTAAATCTACATAATCTGTCTATATCTGAGATGAGGTATTATGATTACTTACATTATTTGGCCATATTCCCAACATTTCTTCAGATGATTGGAATTTTGAACCGAATCCATTATTTCGTCAACTGGGGTAGATTGTTTTAATTCCACGTGCCATGCCTCTTCAACACGACTCTCTGGTTTACCACTGTGGCCTGATATTGAACTCAGAACTCTTTGGGTCTAACCCCCTGGATCAAACCAACATCTTTATCATTTGGGTCATGTGTCCTTGAAGACATCTACGTACGAACTTTTGGGACTTATAAACCTAATGTCACAGCACTCATTTTTTTACCAGTGCTCATATAGCAATTTTTCTATTATCATTATTATTTGTTTTTTTTTTACCAGAGCTTATATTTCAATTTTTTTTGTTATTTATTGCTTTTCTTTAGCACTTCTTATTTCTGGTTCCCATATTGTATTCATATCTCTACTTAGTCAATACCAAGCCACAACAGTAGTGAACCAGAAACCTGGAGAGTTGAATTAAAGGGAAATAACTGAGAGAACCGGGAGAGGAACTAGAACAATCTAGGTGGACGAAATAAAAGGTTCAGTTCGAAATTCCACCTGAAGAAGGCCGGAGTGTACAACGTTCGAAACGTTGTGAATATGGCAATGAAGTTGAGGATAACAGTCTGAATAATGTAAATAATGTAAGTAACTAACATAATTTAAGAAAGTTATAATTGCCTCTCTAAAAAAATGTCTCAAAACCTCATCAGTTCGCTTCGTATTTTCTACTTGTGATATTTAAAGAGAGTAGTTTGGGGGCTTCCATATTTTCGACCAATGTCCCAAAGGTTTTCGCCTTCTTTTATGTCTGTATTCATTCATAAGTCAAACCTCTTCTCGTCTTTCTTAAATCCCTACTTTTTGACATTGGTGACGCTATCTTTTAATTTTCTCATCTTATCAAATGTTTTTCATTTCTGTTTTGAAATGTTTTTTTTTTATCTTTGTTCAATTTCATCGTAATTTCCAAAGTTTGGTTTTCATCACTAAATAATTTTTCTATTTTTTTTGTTATAGGTTTCCTACCACCCAGGATGCAATTATATTTCCGTAATTAAAAATAAATATCAATAACTATACCGTAAAAGAGATTTATTTTCAATAACATGGACCTCTGTTGATTTGCAGAATATAATGGCTCGCCATAAAATAAGTTATTATCAGTATGTAACCTGGTATTGCAATGGAATGTTTAACATATACGTAATTATAGGCATATCCTGGGAATTTTGTCAAAATTGAGCGTTTAATAACAATTTTATTACCAAAATAAAATCTCCCCCCTCCATCAAAGTTCATTCCTATCTATCTAACTACATATCTAGCTATCTACCTGCGTTATTCCATTATATGTCTGTCTGTCTGTCTATCTATCTATCTATCTATCTATCTATCTATCTATCTATCTATCTACTACAGCCAGTACATCATCTGACGCAGTTCATCTCTTGCTCTGTTTTATTCTATCTATCTATCTATCTATCTATCTATCTATCTATCTATCTATCTATCTATCTATCTATCAACACACTCAGTTCATTATCTATCTCCGTAATTTTTATCTAAGTGATTACGTGTATATATATATATATATATATATATATATATATAAAAGTGAGCATAGAAATCAACACTTAGAGGCGACAGTCTGTTTCATGCTATATGCAATCGTCAGGCCACGTGTGCTGTTATTTTTCTCGGCTATTTATACATGTACGGGTCAGTGGTGCATTGTGGGTAGTCTATTATGGAGGTTATTTTACCGGAAGTCGTTTATTTATTTATTTGGGTTAAATTATTTTGCTTGTTTTTATTTAATTTTATTTTTTGTTTCTTATTTTATTTATTTACTTATTATCATAAGTCAAATTAATAAATAAATTTTATATTTACACACGCTCTATCTCTGATATCGAGCCCTTTATCCCATAAATATAGCACTAAATTTCTTTATATATATATATATATATATATATATATATATATATATTATTTTGTAATGTGTGACTAAACGCCTTACTGTTTTGACAAATGTATTTACGGAATAAAATAAAATTAATAAATTTTAATAAATTATAAAAATACTTTTACTTAAAATGTTTCATTTTCGTCACAAAAGGAGTAATTTCAAATACATTTAAAAGAACGATGACCTCGCTTTCTTTTAACTGAATTAGCAAAATTTAAAAAAAATGGAAAAAGACATTTCATTCTCTCTTGTATATTTTACTCATTTGTTCTGATTAAGAAGTACATAATAACTTCCGAATTCATCTACTTGTCATAGGCAGATACCTCACTCCGTATATTTCTCTGTGAGTGGTCTATTGTTTTCGATAGTTTCCAAAGAATTTCGGTAGTAATGGACAAAATCTAAATAAGTACCTTTTTGGAATCAGAATGATCCCGGGATTGAAAATCTGCCAATCGTTTGGTACTTGATTTATGTCTGGATGAGGAGCGAAGAGTTAAAAATTTAAATCTTCTTATCAAAATAATGTTGGGCCAGATGTCCCTTTAGTTTTGGAACCAAGGCTCAATTGGTTCTCCGTAGGAGTTAGCTTAAACTTCCGCATGTCGAACTGAGCATTTTGAGAAAGACATATATGCAGATACTTATATACGTCGCTGCCTCCTGTTCCTTGCCGTCAACAGACACATCCCGAAAACATTATTACAAAGATCTCTTGTCGGTATCTAACAGTTGTCCTTCTTTAATTATTTCGCTAAATAAGAATATTACAATAAAAATGGCACCGAACAATAACAATAAAAATGGCGCCAAACAATAACAAAATGGCGCCAAGACACTGATGAAATCATATTCAAAACGAAAATCTTATGAAAAATCGTTGCCAAGGCCTATCTGCAAAAGCATATAATTGTCGCTGCCTCCATTTCTTTGCCATTAACTGATAGATTCCGAAATTTTCAATACAAAAATGTCCCTCTCAGACGTTTTTCGTTTATACTTTCCGAAGCGTTTCTACTTCCATGGTAAAAATATGACAATCAAAATGACGCCAGACCACTGGTGGATGTCATGTTGTATTGTGCTTTTTCATGAAAGCCGAGAGAAAGGATGTAATCACTGTTTCTTTCAATGCTTTGCTGCAAACAGCTAACGGCAAAAAATATCACTCCAGTGATTTCTCAGTGGGTGATAATTTCTTTATTATTTTCCATGCGTTTTCAGATATACAAGAAAAAAATATTGCAATATATATCGCCTTTAGCCACAGATGAAAGCCATGTTGATTTAGACATTTTGTCGTTGTTCAATGCAAACATTAAAAATATCTTTCCTGATCATATGATGTTGGACCTCTCGACCAATCATTTACACGTGGGATTCATCCGAACATGCAATACAGACGATAATACCAGTGGTTTTGCAAGGGTAATAATCCACATCAATGTAATTAATTATACATTTTCTGACTATATTTTTCCAGAAATTTTAACGAATTAAGACATTACTTGAGGTTAATAATAATAATAATAATAGTAATATTAATAATACTAGTTATTATTATATTATTATTATTATTATTATTATTATTATTATTATTATTATTATTAATATAATAATATATTATTATAATATTATAATATTATTAGTTATAATATTATAAATAATAATAATAGTATTATTAATAAAATTATAGTAATATTAATAATAGTATTATTATTAATAATATTGATAATAGTAATATTATTTCATATTATTATTATTATTAATAGTAATATTATTAATAATAATAATAGTTGTCTTATTATTATTAATTATAATCGTAATATTCTTATTAATAATAATTATATCAATATTTTTATTAATAATAATAGCCACATTAATAATAGTAATATTATTAATAATAGGAATAATATTATTAATAATAATATTCATAATAATAATATTATTTTTAATAATAATAATAATGAATAGAATTTCGAGTGGGTGAAGAAATGCAAGTAAAACATAAAACATCTATGGCAGCGACAAAGAACATTATAAAAAGAAAGCAAAAGCTCATGTAATCGTCCAGATACAGAAACGATGGCAAGACAAACTAATTCCTGGTGAATATTCTTCCGTACCAAACAAGCGAATGTAGACAAACCGCGCACCCATCAGTGGTTACGGAGTGCAGAGTTAAAAGCTGAGACAGAAGGATTTATTCTTGCTGCACAGCGCCTCTGCTTACTAACGAGAAATTAGCAAGAATAAATACTGAATAATTATATTGACCCCAAATGCAGGTTCTGTGATAAATATCCAGAAACAATTAACTATCTTGTATTACTGAGAGTGAAACAAAAGGGGTAAGCGTGCGTGAGGGAAAAGGACAATAAAAGGACTGTATTTAGAAAGACAGAGTAAATATATTAGACATCATTTGTCTATTCTGTTTTTACAACAGACACATATACACATTTATATTTCGAGCTAGAGAGAGATTTAATTGATTAATCTGTTTGTTTTTTTTTAAAGACTTGTCAACTCTTTTTTTAGATTGTAGGATTTTTCAGATAGCAATGCTCTACGGATGCAAGTGTTGCTGATAATCCATAGCTTGAAGCGGTAGAGGTAGATTTATACCTTTCCCAAGGGTATTTTGATCGCAAGTGAATATAACGAACCTGACTGGAATTGGAACTCAGATCTATTAACAATTCCGATTCGTTATCTAATGCATCACTTGCACATCCAAGCTTATAACATCTGGTATTCACGTGCAGTCACCCATCTAAGTACTGACCAGGATCGACATTGCTTAACTTCGGTGAACGTAAGGTAACGGGTATTTCAACGTGATATATTCGTACGCCATTCCAACTGCACATACAAGCTAACAACGCCTGTTATTCCCACGTTCCTAAATACTGACCACATTGCATAACATTGGTGATCGTACGGGAACGGGTATTTCAACGTGATATGGTCGTAAGTTATTCCACTTCATTTCTCGCACTTCTCGCTTGTGCAACTCTCTTCCGGTTCCATGCTTCCCGGCCAACTTTAATCTTTAGAAATTTAAATGCAATGTCAATCGCTATCTACTACCTTCCTGATTTACTCTTCTATTGTTCTCGCCCCTTTGTAATGTTTCTGTTTTCTAATTGTTTCACACCGAGTAACCGCTTGTGTCTTAGTTGCTTTACTGCCTTGCATGGGGGTCGATTTAAAAAAAAAAATCAGACAGAGATAAAAATCAGTTTCATGTGAACATAAAATGCGACAAGCAACGAAAGAAGATGAAAGAAGGGACAGTGCATGTTCAATAATGAAAATACATTTCAATAATAGTATATTTTATGAATAAATGTTTCTAGAAATCTCGACATCTATGCGAATGTCAGTGAGTCACTGTGTCACACTTTTTCAAATTTACTCCTAGAGGTCGTAGACCAACAAATCATATCATTTTGGAATCAGGCCGACACCATGGGCAAATTAAAATCATTCTGGCCCAGAGCCGGAGCCGCATTCCTGAAATTCTGGATTTCCAAGTTTTCATTACTTCAATTGTTTTTGGGATTCCGCCATCTTGGCTTCTACTGATAAAAACAATTAAAGGGACACTAACTTTCATTAACTCATGTTCAAATGAATAAATTTCTGTTTCAAAATAAAATAGTCCATGTTTTCAACTTTACTCTGGGCAGGATTCGGACCCGCAATTCTGAAATTTTGGATTTCCAAGTTTTCATTACTTCAATTGTTTTTTGGATTCCGCCATCTTGGCTTCTACTGATAAAAACAATTAAAGGGACACTAACTTTCATTAACTCATGTTCAAATGAATAAATTTCTGTTTCAAAATAAAATTGTCCATGTTTTCAACTTTACTCTGGGCAGGATTCGGACCCGCAATTCTGAAATTTTGGATTTCCAAGTTTTCATTACTTCAATTGTTTTTTGGATTCCGCCATCTTGGCTTCTACTGATAAAAACAATTAAAGGGACACTAACTTTCATTTACTCATGTTCAAATGAATAAATTTCTGTTTCAAAATAAAATTGTCCATGTTTTCAACTTTACTCTGGGCAGGATTCGGACCCGCAATCCTGAAATTTTGGATTTCCAAGTTTTCATTACTTCAATTGTTTTTTGGATTCCGCCATCTTGGCTTCTACTGATAAAAAAACAATTAAAGGGACACTAACTTTCATTAACTCATGTTCAAATGAATAAATTTCTGTTTCAAAATAAAATTGTCCATGTTTTCAACTTTACTCTGGGCAGGATTCGGACCCGCAATTCTGAAATTTTGGATTCCCAAGTTTCCATTACTGCAATTGTTTTCGGCGATTTTTCTCTTTTTTTATGTGATTTTTTAGTGTGATTTTTTTAACGTGATATTTTTTTGTTATCTGTTTTTTTACGACGAATTTTTTCGTACGATAACATTTTTTATAACGTGGAAATAAATATGGGGATAATTGAAATTAATTGCAAAATCCAACGAAGGTCACCCATGAAATAAAAATAATTCTTTGTAAGGAAAGTAAGGACCTACACTGATCAAATTGTCTTTAAATTAAGTGATGACAGAAGAAATGTTGTCGAAATTTTAAAAGGTAAGATGAAATATTAATACAATACTTAAAGGCAGCGATCAAATTTAAGTTCTTCTGTAGTTTATTGTTACCTATCGCATCTACTCTTTCCTACCTATTGTGATGAATGTCCAATTAAGCGCCCCCTACACAGGCGCTAGCTTAAATGCCACCTTATAAGGTGGCTTTTAAGCTAGTCTATTAATATTTTACAAACAACTGATATATCTGCTGCTAGGAAAGAACTGCTCGGCAATTTTTCTCCCCGGAATCTATCTTACATATTTATAAGAATTTGAATATTTGAATATTGCTGCCATATGTGGTCTGATTTTCCTGCTGTATATTTAGAGATTCTTGATGAAATACAAAAAAGAATCTGCAATTTTATTAGTCTTGACCTGGCATTTTGGCTTTATATGTATTTTCTCATGACGTAATTCTTTGACGTTTCTATAAATATTTACATGGTAATTATTCTTTCCTCTATGGTGCCTAGACTTTATGAATTTAAGAACAGTACCAGATTGGCGGTTATTTCAAATGTTGAAATGGCTAGATGTCATCGTAAGTTCTTTAATTCTCGCTTGTAGAACTCTCTTCCAGTCAGTTTTTTTATCTAAAAATTTAAATTCAATGTCAATCATTATCTTTGTATCGTTCTCAGTCGTTAATTTTCTTCATTTTCTTATTCTTTCACACTCAGTAAACTCTTGTATCTTAGTGGCAATTCTCATTTTTTCCGTCTTTTTATTTTCGCATGAAATAAGTTTTCAGTCAAGAAATAAATAATGATAAATCTTTTAGAAATATTTCTGGTTGTTCACTGAGGAAAATATCTACATAAAATTGAAAGAAATAATACAATATCTATCATCCTTCCTTTAAAATAATATTATAGTATAATATATCGAATTATCTTGAAAAGATTATTCAGAAAATATATCATTAATTCCACTTTTTTCATTATTACTAAATCTGCACAACCAGTGATAGAATCTTGTAAGTTATTTGTTCCATTTTAAATTCCAGATATAAATGGTGAATCGCCATGTCTAAGGTTTTACGATAAAGAAAGATAATAATTTCAAATGCGATTCCCAAAGATTTATCACAATGAAAGAAAATATATTTAATCAAAAACGCGATTCAAGAATATTAAATACTATATATTTGTCGCTCTTTCCGTTTTGCTTAAAGTTTACTACAAATGAAATGCAATGTCTTTAAAATTTCTCTTTGTGGTTGTTCATCTGCTTATGAAATTTCTGGAAATATTTATTCAGAAAATATATCTTTAATTCAATTGGTTTCATTAGTGAACATGCACTGGTACTTCTCACATTGCGGGCGTTGCGTGTCTCATTTTAATTTCATAATAATATCTTTGTTCGCCATGTTTGACGTTCTACACACCTAAAACAAAAACTTCATTTTAATACTATACTATACTATTACTTTCTATTGATAATGGAGAGTGTGCTTTCATTTTCTTTCAGTTTTAATGTAGATTTTTTACACCAGCAAATTATAAAGTAATTTTTAAAAAGCACAAACTTGGTTTATAAATTCCTCACACATTTGAGATTGTGCAAATGCTATAAAATTGATACTATATTTTCTGAATATCGAAAGATACATGATCGATAAGCGTCTATCACGCATCGCACATATCTGTCATGAAAGATTTATTTCATGTTGGTTGTTTGAGTCATTGATTTTGTTTAGTGTCATATCAACACCTCTATGGATTGTTTAATGCAGAAATATAAATATTTAACTAAATATATTTTGACCGCCTTCAGCTACAGATAAAATGTATTGTTGGTCATTTTGCTTTAAAATAAATTGTTGGTAATTATACTATAAATATGTATTGTTCGTATTTTTACTAAGAAAATGCATTTTTACACTTTCATAGTGTTTTTATTTGGGGGTTCACTATTTGCAGATAGCTGGAACCCAAGCAGGTGCTACCACCCCGAGTCTCAGTGAATATGAGAATAATGGCAATTAAGAAATGATTACATGCTTCTCAAAACATCCAATATCCCAACCAGATGCTTTGCTGCCGGATGTAGTTTATCGTCATACCCAGGACTATCTTTTTAAGAAAATATGATATTCCTTTAGGCTAAGATTTGTTTTTAAGTTCCATCAACCCATTGTAAGTTATTTAAAACTAGAAAATATTTTTTTGCAATTATAAGAATTTTTCGAAATAATGATTTATTGATACAATTTCTACTATTTAACTGGTAGGTGGGAGTAGAAGAGAGAAATTCATAATCTTCAAAATTATATTGTGCATATAAGTGAATGTAAATGAATATAACAAACTCGACCGGAATTAGAACACAGTGGAGCGAGTTCCAATTTCGAGCCGTTAGCCATTAAACTGCTTTCATATCCAAGCTTACTGCACCTGATATTCCCTGATATTTCTTTAATACCCAATAATCTTAAAAAGTTTAAATATTTTAATCATTTTGTTGTTAATTAATTGAATTTTATGTACGTTTTATGGCTTTACCTGTGGAAATGGTTAAGGAAATATTAAAAGTTACCAATAAATTTTAAGTTTACTATAGTTACTGCACTTATTTTCTGATAATCTTGTGTATGAATATTTGTATTTACAAAAATTGACATGTTTATACAAACACAAAAAAATTCTTTTCGAAATAATGAGGTCATTGAAGCTTTTCCACTTACAATTAGTAAATACAGTTTTAACTTAATAACAATATTTCTTGACCAATACAAATCAATATAGAATTTTAAAAGTTTATAAATTATTCTAATTCAAATTAAAAAAAAAAGAAAATAATTCTTGTAAAAGTTCATTGAAAAGTTTGTTTTTTTTACATAATATATTTTATTCATAAAAGAAATTAGAATCTTTTCTAATTAAATATCTTAGTTTTATTGCATTTTTAATTTGATTCAGAGCAGATTTTCTGTAACTGGGGGTACTGTTTGATCCCAAAAATTGATTTTAATTCTCAAAGGATATCAAATTCCTCTTAGGTACTGACCAGGCTCGAAATTGCTTAACTTTGGTGATCGGATGATCTAACATTGAAAGGATAGATATAAATTTCATTTTTTTAAATTTTATGTAGATTTTTTTTCTGTCTTCTTGAAACGTGTCATGGCTTATGACCATATCACGTCGAACCACTTGTCCTCATACGATCATCGAAGTTAAGCAATGTCGAGTCTTGTCAGTATCTAAATGGGTGACTACTTGAGAATACCAGGTGCTGTAAGCTTGCATGTATGGCTGGTGTAATTTATAATTGCTCAGAATTGTTAATCGGAGAGTCAATTTCAGATTTCAGTTGTATTCATTATCTTTATTTATGTGCAATTGCCTCTTGCGAAATGTAAGAATCCACATCTTCTCCCTCCAGCTATGGATTAATTAGTAGGACGTGTATTGGTAAATCATTATCTTCTCAAAAAACTTCTTACTATTTAGAAATATTTTCTGACTTTAAATAATCTGCAAAGGGTTGATAAGCCGTAAAAACATGTTAATCAATCCTTTAAATTGTTTTTTTCTCTTCACTAATATTTTCTCGTCCTTTTCCACTCTCAGTAAACACTTGCATCTCAGTGGTTTTGTCGCTTTACTTTTGGTGAAATAATTAAAAACAAATAAAAAATGTTAAAACATTTCTTAAAAAATTGCCCGTATTTATTTCATGATTTTAAATTTTATTACATATTTCATATGAAGACGAAAATAAAAAATAGATGAGAAATTTTGAAAATAAATTTAATTTAAAGTTCCTATTATAACTGCAATAAAATGTACACAAGACCCAAAAACATGGCGAATATTTAGTATTTATGAATTTTGCGTTTAATTAAAAATGATGTCCTGACGGTAAAACATTAGGAATTTGGAATAAATATTTTATTTTTGGAACATAAAATGCAACAGACTACTCTCATGATTATAAAACTGTTTTTACAAATGCAGAAACAAAAAAAAAAAAAAACGAAAAAAAAAAAAAAACAGTCGAATCCATGATATATTTTCTGAATATTTTTTTTTTCAAAATACTTCGACACATTATATTATAAATAATACTCTCGGATAAACATGATGGGCGTGGGTTTATTTTCTTTTAATTTTACGTGGATTTTGCCTAAGCCGAAATTTGAAGTATTTAAAAAAAATCGCTGAATGATTTTATACATCTTGTAGTTATAATTTCATCACACATGTCATATAGAGATGGAGAAAAAACCGCGAAAAGAAACTGCAAAAATAAATTTAATTCAAAGTTCATATTTCAAGTATAACAAAACGTAAACGAAACAGGAAACATGGCGAATATATACGCTTATTATTTTTGAATCCCATTTGACTGACGTAAACAAACATCGATTTATTTCATTTGAAACTAAAACAAAATATTCCTAATAAAAAATGGCCGACATTTTTAATACACTAAATATTTTAATCAACACAGGAGTTTCAAGTTAAAAATCAATAAGCATGAAAAATCGAATACAAATCTACTAAAGGTTTTTTCTTGATTATTTTTTTTTTCTTTTCCTTTTTTAATTATGTCTTGCTCTCCGGTTTAATAATTCTGATGAATGAAGATGAGAACGACTCGCTTCTAGTAAAAAAAAAAAAAAAAACTTCCAATAGCTATCTAATCAGCGAATTAGATTGCAACGAATACAAAAGTAAAATAAATATAGATCTAAAATATTGGTAAAAAGACAAACATGCATTTTCAGTATTTTAAGTTTTTGAATTCGAATTTTAAATTTATTTTTATTTTTCTTAAAAGATTCTGGAGACATTTCAATCGATAATCGATTGTATACACCGATTTCTTCGTTTCTTCTTTCCATCTTCTTTCATATTTCTCTTTTTCTATGTTATGAACTTTTATTTGAAATATTAACTTTCTGGAAAAGTATTGATAGAGGTAAGTATATTTTCTTTCTTTGTATTGATTTCTTTTGGATGCCATTACAAAAGCCAACTATTCGAGGGGGTTAAGTCCAACCAATGACTGCTAACCAAATTTAAAGTGAATAAAAGCGACATGTATTTCAAAATTCCTACAACCACATCGAAAGGAGGAAGTTGACATTAAATTTAAAGAAGACTATATTTTCTGATTCTATTAACATTTCAAAAAACATTTACCGTGAACAATTTTAATGTCTTGACCCTATAGAATTAAAAATAAGCTTAGTCTCTGTTTAAAAAAAAAATTGCTAAAAAATATCCTAGGAAATACGCCAGAAGATTATGAACGGTGAAAATCGGTTCAAGGTCATAAAATTTCCGGATCAGGAGATTTCAGACGCGGAAGTAGTAGAGAACATGCCACGTGCTTTCAAAAACATTATATAGTTAATCAAAAACTAGATAAAAAATATTTGTCAAGCTTTTTTAGATCTCCGAAAACGCTATAAAAGTGACGGTTTTTACTTAATGGAAGTTAAAGGTTCAACTAACTAAAGACTCCGTATGAGTGACAGAACTAATTTCAACTCGTAACTAATTTCACCTTGGAATTAATTTCAAATCGGAACTAATTTCAACTCGATTTAAAATCAAAGTTATTTATTTCTGTGAATTCCTAAACGGAATGAAATGAGTTGGTGTTAATTTTTTTAATTTAGCATTAAAAATCCTTAGTAGATAATTCAGATTTCATCTTTTGTGCAACTTTCATTCATTAGTGCCGAGTTGAAATTAGTTCCGAGTTGAAATTAGTTCTGCATCCCCTCTGTATAGCACGTAATCACCATGTGATAGCAGAACCTTTACGGGCTTGATAGGTGCATAAATTTGGGATTATGTTCCGCATACATTATGAATAAACGATTCTCATCCTCATATAAAACAAAAATAACAGTTGCAAAACATGATTTGTAAAAATGTAAAGAAATTAGTTTAACGTTCAATTTCACTATGACCTGCGCATTTACAAACACAGCTCTTGAAAAATGGGAATAGTTCATTTAAGCGTTCTATACATCTCAAACTATAGAAGATTCTACGGAGTGCAGAATTAATTTCAACTCGGAACTAATTTCAACTCGGAACAAATTAATGAAAGTTGCAGAAAAGATGACTTCTGAATTATCTTATTTACTAAGGATTTTTAATGATAAATTAAAAAAATTAAAACCAACTCATTGAATTTGGTTTAGAAATTCACGGAAATTAATAAATTTTATTTTAAATCGAGTTGAAATTAGTTCCGAGTTGAAATTAGTTCCGAGTTGAAATTAGTTCCAAGTTGAAATTAGTTCTGTCACTTGATCCTAATTTCTTTCAACGATACTTAATTGGCACATGCCAGGTAAGGTTTTATCTTTCAGTTGCTATTCCGTCTTCTGGTAGAGTGCGACTCAGTTCAGGTTTCCATTTCTGTAGAAGAGCTGTCCGAATCTTCACGCGCTCATGGCACTAGAGAGAGGGATCTGTGCTCGCACCTAGGCCAGCGCAACCGACTGTTGCGGGGTCCGAGGAAGTTTTCTCCTTGGCTCGAGTGTACGCGCTGTGTTTCCCCACATTAAACTCGACCTTGTGTCACAACCCGTCTGCAGTGGGGCGACTGGGTTAATAAACTTACCTGGGGTACAGTTTATTATCTCTCAACTGCATCTTTTTCACCGGGCAGGGTGCGATTCATTTGTGTAAGAATATAAAAATATTGATTTCTAAAAAAACCTTTTAGAAGATGAGATCTGTACAAAAATATCAATACACTGTAAAGTTGATCCTTGAATTTTAAAAGAATTTAAAACTGTTAACTGGACTGTCCACATCTTTATTACTATATTTTGACACCTTGTCCTCAAGGATACATGACCCAATGAATAAAAGCATTGATTGAATGCCGTGATTCGATCCAAGGTGTTGTGAGTTCAATACCTGGTTACAGCAGATACTGAAAATAACTTGGGGAGATAAGTTAACGTCTTCCCTGGTGTAGACATGTCAGTACGTTTTTTACCGAAAGTGTTTCTCAGAGGAGGACGAATAAACACGCCCAAAACATAACCTTCAAAAACCAGACACAGACTTGTTTATACATCAATCTTAATTTTTTTATGCCCTTCTCAGCTTGAAACATGTCGACTCATACGTGTTAGCCACCGATCGTGTACTTCAAGGTACCTCAGTTGAAAGTTCTTCCGAAAATGAAACGTTTTTCCCAAAATAATTTGCGGAGAAGGTGTTAAATGGGAATAAGTGATACTGAGATACCCGAAAGATGCATGGCACGTGGAACTAGAACAATCAACCCTAGTAGATGAAAGAAAGGGTTCGGTTCGAAATTCCAAAGTATATCACCTGAAGAAGGCCGGAGCGTACAACGATTGAAACCTCGTAAATATTGCAAGATGACAGATATTTTGTGTGTGTGTGTCAGACTTGAAAATGTATTTGGGTTACTGAGATCTTTGTATATTTTTTTAATTTTCTGAATTTCTAAAATTTTCGTAGACATTATTTCCAGACTACACTGTTTGAATTTGTGATTTATAAACTCGTTTTGATTCTTATTTAATATAATTTTCTTCCTCGATCTCAATTTTTCTCTTTCTCCGTTTATATTAATCTCTCTTAGTTATTTTCATTCAGTTTCTCCCGATATCTGTGTGGTTTTTTTTCTGTCTCGATCTTTCCGTTTAATGATACTAAATTTAGTTCAGTTTGGCAAACGATGACAAGTGTGATTGTCATAAACAGCTTCTCAAAAGAAATTAATAAAATGGTTGTCTTAGTTTTACAGCTCCCAATTGAAATCTAAAATAAGCTGTACCAATTACAAACAGCTATTCAGAGTAACAGAAAACTAATAAAAAGATTAAAGAGATTAAGTGGCAAGTGATGCAAACATTTTAATCAACCCGAAATTAATGAACATTTAAAAAATAATTATTTATACAAAGTCGTCACGCAAGAATGGACGACATTGACTTGTTAAAATTTGTTTTGTTTTACAAACAGCCGATAACAATTACAATATACCAAAATGTATGAAAAGATTATAGTCACTGCAGATGTATTTATACATGGGTTATTGTGTTTTTACAAAGAGGCTGCTTTTAGCCAAAAAAAAAAAAAAAAAAAAAAAAAAATTAATCCGAGAGAAGTGGACCCATTCAAATATGAAGAAATTGTTTTTTTTTTTTTTACATTCAGAATCGGTCCCAAAAGAGAGTAAGATGTAATTATTAGTATTATTATTTTTAGACTTTTCACCCCAAGCAAG